AGCAATAGATCAGCCGCCAACGGAGCAGTCGATCAATCAGTCGATCCTGGCAGATCTACTGAGCAATCGACTGTTTCGTCAAAGATGATCAACCGTCAACCGAGCAGTCGATCAATCAGTTCGATTCAGTTGTGGATTTGCGAAAGGGACAGATCGGTCACTCGCCGCCCAACCTTCAGTGTTGTAATTGCCAGATATTGAAAGCAGATTCAACGTCTGTGCGGGTTTGATTGACTGATTGGTTGCCAACGAGCGATCGATCTGTTCGCTAGTTGAACGAAGAGTTTCCCTCGATCGAAAGGAGTGAATGGGCAAAACACATGCGCTGTGCGAGTGTTTTTGTCCATTCACTCGTTTTGATTCGATTGATCTTCGATCGACCAGCGAACATATCCATCGATCGCAGGCAATCGATCAGTCGACTAGTCACTTTCGCGATCGAAACGAGTGCAGGACGATGCCTTTCCCCGTTGTGCAGGGTCAGAACTGGCAAAAGGACAAAAGACACCATCGTCACAGTCATGTTGCGCATCGAACCTTGTTATCCATCGAACCTTGTTCGACATCAAACCTTGTCGGGCATCCAACCTCCTTGGATGTCGAACCTTGTCGGACATCGAACGTCAGTGGACGTCGAACCTCGTTGCTCATCGAAACTTGTTGTGCAATGAACGTTGTTCGGCCACCACAACCCGCGTCGCCGTCACATCCCATTCACCCCATCCCATTACACACGACGCACATATTTTGTTGAGGTCGCTCATTGGCCGAAGTCCAGATGCCGGTGGCGTCATCCAAAATTTCCACTCATCTCCCTCGATCTCTCTCTATTTCTCTTCATGCCTTCCTCCACCTCTCTCTCCAACTCTCTGTCAATTCACCAATGCCACATTCTGTTGAAGTCCAGATCCCGGCGGACTTTGTATTTTCACATATCCCCTTACATGTCGAGCTGGAGGAACCAGACGGCAGAAGAAGTTCGGATTACAGCGTTGGCTATACCCACCTCGGAACTAACCAGATCGCAAAATCGGGCAGCGGAAGAAGTTCGGATCCCGACGAACTTCGCATTCTCATCTGTCCTATGATGCGCCTGTCGATTGCTTATGTCGAAATCCGCAGGCGCATCTAAGGACCGATGACGGTCGGTTGAATACTTAAACTTCGCCGGAATCCCGACTTCTTCCGCTGTCCGGTTTCGCAACATGTTAAGTTCGGAGGTAGACATGGCCAACAACCGTGATTCGATGCCGAGTTTGGACAACACGTGACGTTCGGATGCAGGCGAACTTGTGCTGTTGTTCGTATACGCGGTGCAACCCAGACCACATTTCTGCCAAACCAGAACATTTGCGAAAACGTGAAGTCCGCCAAGATCCGGACTTCAAGAGAGTGCGAGGCTGCGAGTTTGAAGACATTTGTCTCTTTCTCCAACGCACTCTCGCGAAGTTCGGATCCCGGCGAACTACACGATCTCACCTCACGTACGACATGTTTGTGGCTCGGCAGGTGGGCCGTGGATTTGAAAAATAGCCAAGTCCGCCCGGATCTGAACTTCATGGTATTCCGAAAAGGATTCATCGAACATGCCTGCTCGAATCATTTCTTCAAACGTAAGCCGCGTCTAAAAACAAACGTCGCATATCGTGAAACAGAAGAGCATGCAAATTGCGGATGATCATCTGGCCTTGGTCTTTTCACCGGACCTCTTTTTTTACTGCGGTCGACCAGGTGCCTTGTTAATTCTCGCACACTCGTTAAGTTCGGATCCCCGTGGATTGCAACAAGAACACAACTTCGCCCGGATCCGAACTCCGCTTTTTGCCCCGGCGAGCAAAACGTGATGGTCCTTCGAGGCCGCCCACCGAATGTCAGTTGTGTTCACCCCTGGAACGTAACACATCGAGAAACCGGACAGCAGAGCAAGTTCGGATGCCGGCGGACTACTAATTTTTGTCTAGCCTCCAACGACGTCGTGGTTTTCCTCCGACGCAGTGGATGTCACCAAACACGCAAGTGCAGAACCCGTCTCTCTCTGAATGACTCTCTCGCACCACCCTTGAGTCCGGATCTCGGCGAACTTCACGTTTCCACATGCGCTTTGGACTCATTAATGTCTGCCTTGTGGCCCTGGATCGGACCCGCCTTTCCATCTAGCTTTGAACGGTTTGTCAAGCCTTGACTGCGAACAATTTGACTACAAAGGCAGCATATTCTACAGTCATCATTTGTTAAACGTGTCATAGATATTTCTGCTCACATAGGCATACACCCTCAGTTCAGGAATCCCGATATTAAACGTGTCATAGATAATTCTGCTCACATAGGCATACACCCTCAGTTCGAGTTAGGAAGGGAGAAAATTTCATCCGATCAAGGAGAAAAAAAACAGTTACACGCACACATCGGGCGGAGCTGCATGCCCGTGTGCTTGTGCACTACTTGGAAGCATGTCGAAAGCTTGTGAATATTCAGTTCGGGACGTGACGAGTGGGTGTTGCCGTCACCACGGGAGTTATCGCTTGCCAACTCCGTTTACAAGTGTCTACATGTCTGTATGTGTCGTTTAATATGTATGTGTAATGTGTAGGGTGCATAATGTCGTTGAGAGCGTCGACAAGCCTGGGCATGCATCCCGATACGCACATGCGTTAAGCTGAACTGTTTCCTCCTTGTGCGAAATCGGTGCGGCGTTGTGACGGTCATGTTTCGATTAACGAAACAACCAGAGAGGACTTCGAAGAGGACCCGTGGATGACCGTCGTCCCGTACTTGAACCTTCATCTCGACGATTGGTGCGAGGGTAATTGGGAGACGATGGAGAGTGGTCGCCCTTGGGTGAGCCATTACAAGTTTGCCAACATGTTAGAGTCCGGGAACCTCATTGCACTGCCTGATGGTGTCCTTCAGCGCAAGTTCCTGAACCGTATGCGCAAAACACTTCGCTGCATCAGCCGCCATTTCAGTCGCCTCGTCTGCCACTACATCTGGTCTTCGCCACGAACTTGGGGAAGGTCGCGGAAACAAGAGTTTGTGGACTGCGGTAGTCATTGTTCATTCTTGAAGCAGTACCCACTTCGTTGCCCCATTATTTCTCCACAGGCTGTGTCGTACTGTTATGTGCGGTTGACTGTGTCCGGGTCTGATTTCGCCAAAGTGTTATGTGTCGCCACTTCCGACAAAAGTAGGAAACTCCATGATGTAGTTGTGCGTGTGTCACGCAACGAGGTGGTAATTGAGGGGTCCAAGTTCGTGCCTATGCGTGGGCGTCGTGCTGTGGATGGTGGCCTGATTTTGTAATAGCGGGCCAGGTCGAAGACTTTTCGTTGTGGCGTGAGGTGGAAGAAAAAGTGTCTGACATACGAGACTGTATAGGGAACACTTTGGCACGCCTAGGAGTGTTTGTTAGGATGAAATATATGTCCGTCTTTTTGGAGAGCGCTACAGTCAAGAAACCGCAGATCCACGTATACGGATCATCAATGAATGCTATGTATGGTTTTGGTCCACGAACTCGTCCGCGGGGAACCCCTTACGGCACTGGATCCGGACGGGTTGTCAGACCCTGTGTTTGAGGGTGAAGGAGCGGGAGGTGTGAGAGGCATGTGTGTAGCCGAAAATGGTGAATATGAAGTACTGAAGAGAGGTGTGAGAGGCAGCAGTTGCAAGTGGACGCTACACCACGCACTTTAGGTGCGAACCCCGAGCAATCCCCTTACACTCACTTCCGTCTAGCCTCCAACGATGGAGTGGTTTTCCTGCTGCGCGCCCTCGTGAAGTGCGGATCCCGACGGACTTAAGGTTTCCACCTTTCATGCCTCGTTTCTCTGGCCCGCCGGGTCCGAAAATCGTTTTCGGACTTAACATATTGCGAAACGGGAGAGCGGAACGATTTCGGGTGCTAGCGGACTGCGCATTGTCGTCTTGCCTCCAATGTCACGGTGGTTTTCCTGCTGCGCCGTGGATTTCACCTGGCATGGAAGTGCAGATCCTGTCTCTCTATCTCTATCTCCCTGTTGCGTAGTTTGAATCCCGACAAACTTCGTCTTTCCACTTCCCCTTTGATCAAACTGTGGTCTTCCTTGTGCCCCTTAGTGCAGATCCGGTTTTTCTCTATGTCTCTCTCTCAAGAAGCCTCCTTAAGTTCGGATCCCGGCGGACTTCGCGTCTTCTTCTGCCCGTTCAGCTGACACTGGTCTTCCTCATCATCCGTCGATTGCAAGAACAGCCCTAGTTCGCCCGAATCCGGACTTCTCATTTTGCCCGAACAGGGTCACAAAACATGCTGGCCAGGCTCCTGCTTTCAACTGGGCTCCATCGAGTGCAAGAGTGCACAGAGCGCCACAATGGACAGCAGACGAAGTTTGGATGCCGATGGACTTCTCATTTTGAGGTGGCCTTTGATGTGAGTTTGGACTTCCTACATCCTCGTCGAGTTTAACATCCACGACATTGCGGATCTTGTGTCTCTTTCACCGTCTCTCTCTAACACACCGTCCTTTAGTTTGGATCCCGACGAACTTTTTATTTTCGGTTGTGCGTTGGTATGTCTGTGGTCTTCCTGGTGCCCCGTCGGCCGCATAAACAACGCTTGATCCCCGACGCTCTGCGAGTTTTCACTGGTTTCTCTCTTTCTCTCTGCCTCTCGCTCTCGGACCCTCTTGAAGTTCGGATCCCGGCGAACTTCTCATTCTCACCCTTCCGAATTCGGGTGCAGGAGGGCCTTTGTGTGTGGATTTCGCTGCTGTAGAGCCTGCGTTGTAGTGTGGCAGCGACTGTTCAATTGCTGCTTTGTTTTGTCAGACGTTGACTGCATGATGCGTTGTTTGATTTGCGTTGTCGTTCGCAGACAGGATGTCGTCTTCGAGGGGCGAGGTGGAGCGAACAGGGACCTCCAGGAGGGAATCAGGAAAAGATTCCACGAGGCAGTCATCTACTGCCATGAAATCGTGGTCAAACCATTCGAAGTCGAAATGGTTCATCGACTCGTGTTGTGGAGACGCTTCCAACCCCACTGCGCAGCCATGTGGTCCTCTCATTTTCGTCGATGACAACAAAAGGCGTAGAGTGCTTGGGGCCGTCTTCCGGTAGGAGGACACGAAGGGGGGCCGGCGACATTTCTATATGCAAAACGTTTATGGCACCAAGAGCAACGTCGTTGCCAATTCGAAAGGGGCACTGTTGGACCTCGAATTGTGTGAGGGGTTCGGAGCGGGTGCTATGAACACCCCGTTCTACAGAGAACTCGTTCTCGGGGGCGGTTTTGTTTTGGCGCGTAAATTTTTCGACAAGTTGGCGGACAAGAACATCGTTCTCGACATCCCCTGCGACGTCGGCCCCTCCCAAGAGCTCTCATTGCTGTTAAGGCTGTGTGGCGGTTGCGAGTCAAGCGGGGCAGCGGCGGAGGGCGGTGATCTCGGTTCTAGTCCCGCTACTCAGCTGCACCGTGGCGAGAGCCGAGGTCAGTTCGACGACAGCGAGGATGAGGGGCCTACTCCACCATTGGGGGACACACAGCGGTCTGGGTTGTCTGCTCCTGGGGTTCTGATTGACGCTCCGGTTCGACAGGAGAGTACGGCACCTGCAGGAAAGGTGGCAGCCTCTTCGGAGGTCGACTTGGAGACGAGCGCGGGCCAAGGTGTGGAGGAGGGAACCGCGGGCGACCGGGGCACGCAAGGCAGTCCACAGAAGAGGAGGGGGGATCGTACAGACGAGTTTGCCGGTTCTTCGAAGAAATTGAAGAGCAAGGCCCCGAGGACTGCGGGGGAGAAACGCAAGGGGACCGAGGGAGAGCAGGGCCGGCAGGGTGCCAAACGTCCTGCTTCGAAACATAAACAGGCTGCGTCAGGACCATCCACTCCACAGACGCCATGGCCTCCCATCGATGTCGACGCCGGGTACTTCCTCGAGTACAGAAACAGTGTTCGGACAAAGCGGGAGTTCGAGATTAGCCCTGCGCAGGTCGTCGACCTCGGGGAGTGGGAGGACCTATACAACCAGCGGTCCCTGGATCCCGTGCTCGTGGAAGGGATCAAAGAAGCGATGCGGTTGGCGTTCGAAAACAAAGAGCAGTCTTACCAGTTGCCAACCTTGAAGCTGGCATCGTTGGGGCTTGATAAACCGACTCCCGGGACCAAGGCACAACGTCTGAGGCCGGAGGATTGGAGGGATGAGCTGGCGGGACAATACTACTACGTCGCGGTGTGTGGGCAACACAATGCCGCTGCAGCGAGGTCGCTGCTCGGCAGCGAGGTGGCCAGGAAGTCCAATTTCGAGCGGTAGCCTGCACGAATGGTGTACTTTTCGGAGGACGACTTCGAAGGGTACTTCCTTGTCAGTTCCCAGGACAACAAGAAGGACCTGAAGGCACCCCTGAGACAGCTGAAGCTGTCAATGAAAGACATTCGGTGGCAGTGGAAGCGTGATGGTTGCCCGCGGGCTGTTGTGGGGAACCCCAACGGAAAACAGGATCAGGTCCGGAAGTGGCGTGAATTCGGTAATGTCACGCTCAATATGACGCCGCACAACAACTTGTGGATTCTGGCAGATCAGAAGGGCGAGGACGCCATCAAGAAGCAAGGCGCTGCCCTGCGTTCTTATTTTTCACTGGCGATGGCATGGGAGAACGTCTGGAAACTGGCCGTCGAGTTTTTCGAGAAATGGGAGACAGGTAGATTGCTTGGCCACGACGGCGCTAAGTGGATCATGAGAAAGAAGAAAGTCAAAAACGTGAAGCCCGGGGTTGCCTACATCGACAATGACAAGCTGGGCAAGATGGAGGTCGTGTACAACGTCCTTGTGGACCCGCCAACGAAGAAAGGCAAAAAGGAGAAAGAGGAGGGCGAATGGTTCGTGCAAGTGCCTGAGCCAGACACACATTGTTGGAAAGCGCTGGAGTCGCTGACCGACAACGAGAAGTGCCGCGTCCTGAAGAAGGTGCTCGCTTGCGAGGTGGTTTGGGTCCAGGCCGGCTCCCTGGCGTTGGCGAAGCTCGGAAAGCTGAGCGTCCAGGCGATGGTGCATTTGGTGAAGTGCGACCGCGTGCTAGTGCGTCTGTGGAACTACTACCAATTCAAGCATGACAAGAGGCCGGACGCGAATTGGAGCCATAAGTACCCGTTCCTGAAAACAAGGTCCGCAATTTTGAAGCAGCGCGAGAGTCGTGGTTTGGATGCTGAGTTGTGGGACGACAGCAGGAAATACGTCACTGACTCCTCGTTGTTCAATGAAGACGACACCTTCCCCCTTCTTGCTGACGGATTCAAGAAGATTGACGAATCGGGCGGGGTTGCGTTCCATGTCCCCGTACACACTGCCCCGACGTGCAGGCGAGGTATGTGACCAGTCGCAACGGCTGAACAGAATGTCGGAGACATCCGTTTACGTAACCTTCTGTGGCAGCGGCACTGCAGCAGCGGCGCCTACTGGCAGTTTCCCCTCGTAGACGATGGACGTGTTAGCGTGCAAATCGTCACCCTTGAAGAGGATGTACATCCGGTCGTCTTCCGTGTACAAATTGTTTCCGACGGGGAAACTTTTCTTCTGCTGATTCCTCCTCACCCACTTCCCTTCTAGCAGCTTCATGAAAGAAAGATGGTTCATGCTGGCCAGAAACGAGAGGTTCTGCTGGCGCGGCACGGAAATGACGAGCGTTCAATGCGACGGACACCACGTCTAAGGTTGGGAATCCAGAGTGTCGAACGCTTGCGGTTTCCACAGCTTCAGGTCCACCGGTTCGTAGAGATCGAGGGCGAAAGTTTGGCTCTTTGTGGCAACCATTGCCTCCTTCACCTCTGCACTTAGATGTCCGCCTCCAAGGGGTCGTTGCCGAACGACGCGATGGATGTTGCGTCGCCCGTGTCTTTCCATTTTATGTGCACGATGCCTTCGGCAAATGCGATCTCGCGACTCTTTAGTCTACTGCCTGTCAACACGGACAGGACCTTATTCCTCCAGTCCACGGACAACTTCCTGTGACCGGCCAACTTCTCCGTTGCCTCGATCGATTGGTCGTTGTCGCAACCCATGTAAGGCGGGCAGTCCTTGAACAACCAGGAGTCAGTGACGTATTTCCGTACACAAAGTCGAACTGCTTGAAAATTGCGGACCTTGTTTTCAGGAACGGGTACTTCTGTGTCCGACATTCCGTTCAACCCTTGCCACTGGTCGCATACCTCGCCTTCACGTTGGGGCAGTGTGTACGGGGACATGGAACGCAACCCCGCCCAATTCGTCAATCTTCTTAAATCCGTCAGCAAGAACGGGGAGGGTGTCGTCTTCCTTGGAAAGCCACACGCGCGATCCGTGTGGGAACTACTGAAGGCAGGACGACACATCATCACGATGGAAGGGAACTCCGACCTGTTGCAATTTGCAATTGATCTCGTCAAAAGCGAGGTCAATACGGGTGCCCACAATTGCGAGTTCATGGTCGTCAATGAGACTCGGGCTCGCGCGTGGAACAATTAGACGGACATGTGGTTCAAGTTGAGTGCGAGGAAGCGGAACAAGATATACGACTTCTTGTTCCTGCAAACGCGGCCGAAGAAGGACACTGACGCCGAGCACGTGCGCCGCAAGGACCACATGTTAACGCTGCTCGACAACTACCACGACGCCTCCCACATGAACGTGAAGACCTTCCTCAAGAGGTTGCAGTCCCTGTACTTCGTGGAGTCAGAGGAGGAGTTGATGTTCGGCAGTTACTCTTCCTTGATCTCCACGGAAGACGAGGAGACCACCAACATCGAGTTCGACGCAAACACGAACGAGGAGGGCAGCGACACCGAAAACCTCGACCTGCACTACTACCCACATCCCGTGCAGCACGCCACAGGGTCGTCCTTGGCAGGTCCGTCAACAAGCCCGACATCCCTCGTGTCACCGATGACGAAACCGGCGCGTGGCACTACCCCGATGAAGTTACTAGAGAGGCTGGAAGCTCTGGCCTCTGGCCATCGCACACTGCGTCCCGGGTTTGACATCCCGCCCGATCATCTGTCTCGGAAAAATGACAACATTCACTTCCTGCCTGAGCCTCAAAGTCATTCCCCTGAGGTGGACTGGGGCCATGACATGATTGGCATCCAGGAGTCATCCAGCCGGTGATCCAAAAGGGCGACTGGATCATGGTCGTCGTTGTCCCGGGCGGAGGATGGATGCCCCTCCCTCGTGGGTCGAAGTCTAACTTCCTCGACGTCGCTAGAATTGCGGTCCTTCAAAAAGTGAGGGCCGAGAATGACTCATTTGCACCCGACGACATGTCCATCATTTCCACAGCCGGGCGATTGTTCAACGAACTTCAGGACAAGTGGTACTTGGAACTGACGGAGGACTACTACGACCACGATACGAGCCTCTCGAAGGGAAAGGTGGAATGGAAAATCCCACCTCCCAGTGGGACGCATGTGAGTCCGGGGGCCCGGGGATCAGACGGTGGGGAGGACGAGGGCAACAAGGCTTGGGGTGGCAAAGGAGTCCCGCCTGGTTCGGAGGGCGGGTCTCACTGTGACACCACGACAGCGGAAGGCAGCGGTGTGGTGGCGGGGGAGGCCTTCGGGCGTCATCAGTCCACCGTTCCCGGTCCGGAGGGCTCGACACAGTCCGCCGACGTGCCCACTTCATCCGCCGGCTCGGTGATGGCAGCCGTGGTTGCTCTCCGTGCCGGCTCGGGCGAAACGTGCAATTCCGCCGGGATCCGAACTTCAATGCTTGCGGAGCGGATACAGAGGACAGACGCGCAGAGCTGGTCGGGAGCGGGGGTGCCGAGTCCTGATCCCAAAATTGACAGCGGTGAGGTGAGGGACGGGAATGCGCCGCTTGCGGGGGATCGACAACCGCTTCGGTCGGAGTGAGAGGGTACATGTGGAGGGCCTGGCGACAGGGAGACGGCGAAGTTCGTCGGGCTCCGAACTTCTTCAGGCAAGGGGGGGCGACGAGGGATTGTGGTGGCGGCGGGAGGGGCTGCGTGCGTGGAGCCAAAAGGGCATTCGTCGGAATTCAACACGGGTTCGGGCGAAGTGGCTGGATTGCATGCAAGGGAAGGAGGCAGTGTAATGGACGAAGAGAAGGAAGGGGAGGAAGGAGACAAAGGGGAGGAATGGGAGGAAGGAAGGGATGAAGGGGAGGAAGAAGAGGAGGAAGGGGAGGAAGGAGAGGAAGGAGGAGAAACGGAGTTGGGTGAGTTGTTCGGAGGGAAGGAAGGGGAAAAAGGGGACGTCGATACTGGAGATGACGGACGGACGTTCCTTGACGACGATGCCAGATCTGGGAGTTGTCTGCCCGATTCGGGCAACTGTATAGAGAACATCGCGAGGAAGACGACGACGACGATGACACGGCAATGGAGATGGAGACACAGGTGGTCACCAACTTTTCGGCAGAACATGATAACTATGAGGTCCAAGCAATGATGTATGCCGTCGATCTCTAACACCGGTTTAACGAGGCTCGTATTGCTGTCAGTCTGTCTAAACCGAGTGTCCTTATAGACGTCGAAGAAGTTATCGATGGCTTTCTGGGCGACCATCACATGTCCACGCAACCATCCTCGATGCCTGATGTCGACGACCCTCGCGGCGTCAAACCTTCCGCGGCATCAGTCGTGGCTTTCTCGCCGCCGAACTCTCCGATACTGCCGCGGACCATTGCTAGCGGAGGGGAAGGCGGGATCGGGGGACGACAACATGTCACGTCCCCGAAAAAACTAGGGTCGGCACTCAAGCTCTCGACGTGCTGGCCTTGCCCGCGCCAACTTCACCGATGAGGGAGCGGAGGGACAAACCAGTTGGTAAGCTGTGACAAACGCTACTCTCTCTGCGCGCCCGGCTTCCCAAGAGCAAGAGTGAGGCTTCCTTCGTAGTCCGGATGTCGGCGGCCTAGGTTCAGTAGCATAAACACAGGGAGTGACCTCAGTGTCTGCCGATGCGGGGAGTTCCTGATGCTGACATACTACAGCCACCACTCCTTCCAACTTCCAAGTACATGTGAACGACCTTCCTGTGAGTCAGCCAGGTCACTGGTCGTGTGCAGGGCATACGAGACAAAAACATGTGTGTTTTTGTTAAAGCGTTCCTTCACAAAATGGAATGATGGTGTTTCTTTTTCGGAATGAGTGGTGGTTTTAGTCCGCCGGGATCCGCACTTCCAAGGCCGATGCGTAATGCGGTTACTCTTTGTGTGCCTCGATTGGAAAAAGTCCGCCGGGATCCTGACTTCAGAAATGTTTGGCGTCCGCGTTTGTGGCTTGTTGTGGTTTTCCCTTCTGAAGGGCGGGGGTGTCGAGCTCGATCGCACTACTCCATTTGTTTTCCAACGGGGCTCGCGTGAAAGTATTCTCTCTCTCTCTCATGGCTAAACGAGGTTCTGTAATTAGATAGGTCCTGCGTCTTTTATATTTCGTGGTTCTTAAATTGTCATTTTCGTCGAATTCATCTTGCAATACGTATATTCATGTTCCGTTTTGTCTTCTGTCGGTTGTACAGAGGTAGGGTCATCTCCCTGGATTGGAAAAAGTTCGTCGGGATCCGGACTTCGGAGATGTTTGGTTTCCGCTTTTGTGGATTGTTGTGGTTTTCCCTTCTGAAGGGCGGGGGTGTCGAGCTCAAATGCACTAGTCGTTTTGTTTTCCAGCGGGGCTCACGCGAAAGTTCTCTCTCTCGCACTCTCATGACAAAACAGGGTTCTGTAAATGCACAGGTCCTGCGTCTTTTAGATTTCGTGGTTCTTTAATTGTCCTTTCGTCGGGTTCGTCTTCGAAAAAGTGTATTCATTTTCTGTTGTCTTTCTTCTGTTGTACAGGGGTAGGGTCATCTCGAACACGGAGGCCCTCGAAATATCCGGAACACATATTGCAGAAAGTCCCGGGGTTGACGACAAAACACAAGGACATGTTAAAGGCATCAGGGGTTGATGTCGAAATCCGGAAGAAGGAGCATGCCATTGCCATTGAGGAGTGTCTTTCCCTTCTGCCCCCAGAGAAAGGGACATATCCACGATCTGTGACTAGGGGTCAGGCCATGTATGAGAAATACTTCGCTACTCGTCGTGCGATGAAGGAGAATCCTTAGAATTCCGTTTCTCACTTTCCCCCGTGTCCTTTGTTCGATGTTGTGCAGTGCGGGCCACGACACATGGAACAGGCTGGGAAGGATTCACTGCAGTGACTGCGCTTGGAAGCTTGCGGGTTTTGGACGATATTGAATGAGGCTTGGTGCCACCTAACACTGTTCTCTCGACCCTCGGCGATGGTCTCTTGCGAATTGCAGCAAAAGATATTCTCACCCTCTCGCTTACCAACGACAGGGTGAATGATGAGGTGGTCAATTTTTACATGGCGCTATTGGGGACGACTGCATATGGAATACGTGACATCCCGTCAGGCCTTCGAGTCTTCAGCTTTAATTCTTTCTTCTTCAGTAAACTGCAACTTCAAGGACACGGCGGGGTGGAAAAATAGGCTAAAAACGTGGATCTGCTTCAATATGATATTATCTTTGTTCCAGTCCACAAAGATAATGATCACTGGATCCTCCTTTCCGTGAACTTGAGAGATAATGTTCTTGAGATTTTTTATTCTTTTCCTCGCGTTGTAGCCGATTCTAGTTTTTACCTTAGTGTTATCGAGTTGATTGTACACTATTTGGAATGTCAAACATTACATAGGCGGTCGTGTAGAGGTTGGAAGTAGGTAGCAACAAATGTTGTTATAGAGGGAGTTCGAAGACAAGTGGATGGAGTTAGTTGCGGGGTGTTTATGTTGATGTTTGCGACAATGTTGCAACGTGGCGATCTACAACCTTTCAGGTTCTCTTATAAAAATATTTCGCATATTACACGACAATTGGCATCATGTATCTTGGAATGCCGTTGTCTTTGATGGATTCGATTGATTTGTAAACTTTCATTTCAGAATATTTCATATTTTAACTGTTGCTATCACAATAACATTACTTTCTTTTATTGTTGCGAGTTTGAGTTGTCTTTGGTATGTTGCCTGCCAGTCGGGCGTCGCGTGTTGACTTTGGAATCTCTATCAGGTCCCGCTCGTCTGTCGTGTCATTAAATTCGTCGCATTGCATTCCTCGTTTCAAATTGTGTCCAGGTCATCCAAAGTTGTGCATATAATTCACTTTGAAATGATATTCGTGTCTGTAGTGCGACATGATGAATTGGAGTGTGGATGTCTTGTGAGTGTGAGGTTCGTTATGCAAAGATTCAAAGACAACTGACATCACGTCTCTTGTGTGCACTAAGAATCATGTACTTGTGACCGTTTGAATTGCATGTAACCAACAATTTTGCGTTCGTGATCGGAAAAAGAAAATTGTATGTCAAATTAACTGTTTGTACTTCGACTGCTACTATGACTGTTACATTACTTGAAGTTTTCAATGTCACATTGCTCAAAGCATACATGTCGAAGACGGATGCAATCATGACACCTTGTTCATCACAATTGTAAATAAGTATAGATCTCATCACCTTTCTGCACACCCGACGAGATGGTTGGCGTATTTTACGGACACTAAGTATTCTAAAGAAGTCCGACTGTCAACAACATCCAAATAACCGTCTCGAGCGAGATGATTGCCATGCATGTACAACTTACGCTTTACCAAAACAAATGTATTATCCAACAAGGATTCAATCATGACACCTTGCTCATCACATTTACAAACTTGAAGTTTGACAAGTGTGGATCCCGGTACACTATCTCACAGGCTTCTCGGATGGGCGTGCCTATCGCTACTCTACGTCTTCGAATATAATTATCCAATGAGGATGCAATCATGACACCTTGCTCATCACAATTATGAACTTGAAGTTTAACAAGTACGGATCCCAACACACTTCCGCACAAGGTTCCCTGATGGGCGTGCCTATCGTTATTCGTTTATGAAGTTTAACAGTTACGGATCCCGGCGCACTTCCGCACAGGATTCCCAGCACGTTTTTGAAGTTCAACAAGAAAGTATCCCAGCACACTTCCGCACAGGGTTCCCTGATGGGCGTGCCTATCGTTATTCGTTTATGAAATTTAACAAGTACGGACCCCAGTACACTTTCGCACAGAATTCCAAGCAGTGCCACGTTTTTGAAGTTCAATAAGTAATGATCCCAGCACACTTCCGCACAAAATTCCCGTGCGGCGTGCCTAACCTGTACGGGTTTGAACACGCTTCCTCATTTGGAATATCATTTATAAAGTTTCACAAGTATGGATCTCAGCACACTTCTGAATGTGGTTAAGCCCTGGATGGGCGTGCCTACGTTGCTTAGAATACAGCCAAAAATTAATTCGTTAGAAAGAGGACACAGTATAATGTCCTATTTTAAGGAATAACATGTTGAGATTAAAACAGACAGAGAGAGAGAGAGAGAGAGAGAGAGAGAGAGAAAGAGAGGTGGAAGAGATGAATGTGAGTGGGTGTGTGTGTGTGTCCCTCCCCGTTCCCTCGTAATGGAGATACCGGAGGGGTAGGTCCAAGATGTCGGACCTACCCTAACCGGGGTCGGTCCTCCATCCGAACCATGCCTTATTTTTGGCATACACAGCACACAGTTAAAAAAACAAAAAAAAGGGGGCGGGTTTTATCAGTTGTTTTTTAGTTAGAGAGTTTAAGGAGGACATCTTGGGCGTTAGTTTTGAAGGGTTGATACATATGGGGGTTTTGGAGAATTTTCTTGGTAATGTCGAGTAGTCTGTGTCTAGGGAAGTCATTTTCTCGGAGAGTCTGGATAGTTTGTTTTATTTCCTGTGCTGCGTTTTGAGGGTTTGATTCAATCGTCATGATGGTGATGATTGGTGGGATTATAAGGTTGATGGATTGTTGGATAGGTTTGTTTGAGTCAGCTTGGATGAACCTTGTGATAAGAAAGTTGAGTTCCTTTCTTTTGTCGTATTTGGTAGTTCTGTATTCGTCGGTGTGGGGGGTTGTAATGTGTATAGAAGTGTTAAGAAAATTTGCTTCTGTTCCAATTGTTGTGTGATTTATCTGTGTGTGTTCAGTAGTCTGTTCATTCAGTGTGATGAGGTGGAGAGGGTATAGGTAGAATTTGCTTTGGGTGCTTTTGACTTCTGGATTAATAAATTCTTTTATTCGGGGGTGAGTTGATGATGTAGACGTCATCAAAATATCAGGAGACATTAGTGAAAAGGTGTACTAGATTCTTATTACATTTATGTGTGGTTTTCCTCATCAATTTGTATTCATATTTGAAAAAGTAAATGTTACACCACGCTTGAGAACAACTTACTCCCATGGGTATCCCTAGGATCTGTTTCCAAATGTTTTGCCCGAGTGATGTGTATGCGCTGTTGATCAGCAAATCATTAATTGCGATTACAATCTCCTCGTTAATGGAAATATATCCAATGGGTGGGTTTTTGTACCATTCACATTTGACATCTATGTGGTTTTGCTTGTAGGTAAGTTTGCAAGCCAATTGTTTGTCTTTGTCATGCGTTCTTTTTGTTTGTCTAAATGTCATTCT